CTATTTCTAAGACTTCTCAAGAAGAAAAAACAACATAAAACTCACCACAAGCTTTGACTGATGAAGAACAAGGTGCAACACAAGACGTTGAAAGCCTTGCTTCCGCTCAATGCCAGCAACTGTGTACTCTAAGCTTCGCAGTTCCTTAAGGAAAACAAAGCCAAAAAATCTTGGCCATGAACGACTGTTCCAAAGGTAACATCTCCACTCTCCACTTAACAAGTCCAATCCCTGTTCAGTCAAGTGACTGCTGGATGAAAAGCTGCAAGCTCGAGAAGTTGCTTGGAACGAAGCTCGAATGAAATCGCTGGTAGCTTGGCTGCTGGTGCTCGCTTTAAGATTCTGCTAATGTGGCTGCGTAGGCCTTCAACGCTCCTCGTAACAACCCTAACCTGAGTGCAAACAGCAAAGCCCACCAATTGACATTGACATACCTGGTTTTGTGACCTGGTGTTGGCAGTGGCCGTGGACCAGTGAAGCAGTGAGTTTGAAGCAGTGAAGTGACCAGTGACCAGCTTTCTTGAATGAACAAACTTATTATATGCTGATCAAAAGAACGAGTTTCAACGCTGAGAGCCACCTCACCAGAGGTTTGCAAGCATCTGGTTCCAGCTTGTACATCTCAGCAACAGTTTCTCCTTTTGCTAGCCGTTCAACCAATGGGCGCAAAGGAGGGTCATCAGGATTTGCATCCTGATGAAGGCCCTTCCAGGCAGGATTCAAGAAGCGTTGAGATTGAGCATGCAAACAACCCTTCCCACCAAGATTCCATAGTGCCAAAACATCTTTTGCTGCTCTGCAAACAGTGAAAGGATTGTCGTGAGCAAGGGCACCTAGCTTGGGATTGATACAAGGAAGCTAAGCCAGATTTGTTGCAACTGGTAGGGTTTTCAGTCTCAACTACAGTGCACTGTGGGGAAAAACACTCAGTGAGCTAAAGCTGAGGAGCAAAGCTTCCATGGCAATTGATCAAAGTGCGCCATTTTGATACGAACTTGACCCCAGAACTTGGAACGTGCTCTGACCCATTCATCCAAATACAGTGGAATGTTTGCATGGTCGCCCTTGACAACATATTCTGATAATCTACTTTGGCCCTCGGACATAACAGATTCCAACTTTGTGATCCAATCACCAGATGCCATTTGAACAGCTCTGCATCCACGATATGGACAAGGAAGGTGTTGTTGAGAATTGGAGAGCCATTTGGTTCTTCTCCTCTTTACACCTGTGCCAGCAACCAAGACCTCTTCACAACAATCACAGCCCTCTGCCCAGCGGCCGAGGACTTCACAGGAAAAGCACAAGTCATGTGTCAGCGCTACTGCAGCCCACCATGAATCACTTGTCAGTGCTTTGTCAATGGCGTCCACTCTTGCGCGGATATCAGATTCCGAGAAGTTCATGCCACTGAGAAATTTATGTTTGCTCCAAAATCGTTTGAGCAAGAACTCAAGCTTTAAAAGCTCTTTGGTGAACACCTCAATGGCTTCCCATCTCAATGATTTCAGAGAGTGAGACCACTCAGAGAAATGATTCACAAATGCTGGATCGCAACAGGTTTGCTGAAATCTCTCCCGCATTGTAGGCCAACGAAGCAACTTCTCAACAGCCCGCAATCCATCTAAAGTATTTTCCCACCTGGTTCAAGTTTAGCATTGACTTTCATCAGTGTCATACAAACAATCTCACTAGCCTAATGTGCAGTAAAACCATCCCAGTTGTTGCCGGATAGTGAGGTTAAGTAAAATGGGTTCCTGTCATGTCTCAACCATATACAGCAACAAAAGTTGTTTTCCAACCTGGCTAATCTGACAAGATTACCTTAAACTAAACAAGTAAAGTTAAACATGCTTGAGTCGTGGTCAAGCAAGCTCAATTTAGATAGCCGGTAGCAATGGAGGTGTAAACCCTAATGAAAAAGAAAAAATATTTCTAGACTCTGGCCAACTGACGTGCTCATAGTTGACAAACATTGATCCAAAAGGTTGTCCGAAATGTGCTTGAGATCTGTTGTGGGAATTGAATTGGGATACAAGCGAGACAAGCGTTCTGGCTCAGTCTCTGGTCTGATGTCATCGTTAGCGTTGTCAGTTGCTTCCGACAGGAGCACTTCAGAAGCAGCATCAGCAGCAGTATCGTCTTCCAGTGGGACAAGAGAAGGCTTTGTAGATGGGAGTGTCCTCAAGGTTTCCGCAGTCTCATCCAACAGTGCCTCCAGCCTGATAGCAGGAGCAGTGCTCAACTCCATCTCAACTCCTCAGTAGTGCGCAAATGCGCACTGTGCCAGAGCCAGTGACCAATTGTACCAAAAAAACTAGCAACCAGTGGCTTGGTCGGCTTGCTCAGAACCAGAACACAAGAACAATACTAAATGCAAAGGCAAAAAACCCTGGTCTGAACAATTGTTCACAACCATTTCGTTGTATTTGGTCAAATCTTCCAAGGGCCTCTCGCTATGTCCAGTCTCCAGTAACAGGACAAAGATCAAAGCATCTAATTTGTTTGGAAATGCTGCACCTTGACAGGGAGCACACATTTACATTTTAGAAAGGATTATGATGTCGTGAGACTCTTTATTGCCATCACTCTTAACCTAGAGCGAATGTTTGCCTGCCTTTACCGAGAGAAACAACTGGAAGAGTTCTGGCTTGCACTGTCAACAGAGGTCGCTGTAGTTCATCAGGTTCATCAGTGAGTGCTTTCAGAAATCCGCTTGTCTCAATACATTCCAAGTATTTGCCAAGAGCATCATCAGCCCTTGGGAAAACACTGACAAACAGGCACTCCTCGGTAGTATTAAAGATGACTAGTCAGGTCAAGTCACCTAGCGCAGAACTCCTGCACCAACATGAGGTCTTTACCTTTCTCACTGGCGTCGTATCCTCAATGGAAAGCGTGAAAAGATCTTAGCATAATGGGCTGGTGAAAGTATCCTTGCTGAAGACAAATATACAATAACACATAAGTCGTTCTTGCCATTAGGTGTCGGATTCAATCAAATGATAGAATTGACTTTACTGCACGTTGAAATTTGAAATGTTCGCACAAGTAAAAGCAGACCCTGGCAGACACGTTGACAGAACCAGGATATCAACATGTGTAGATGCCAACTCCATCACTCAACACTCAAAAAAAGATCAAGCAAAACTTAACCCATAAATAAATTGCTGGATGTTGGCAGAGGGCCCAAAGAGATCCAATGTTTACCCCACCCTGCAGAGCTCCAAAAGTTGCGCCGCTGTTGCATCAATGCTGCGTCCAAAAGATATCTTGCCCTGGCCATTACTGATCCACCTGGGCCACCTGGACAGACTTCTTCCTCCTGGCTGGCTGGACATCAAACAAGTTAGGTTTCAAGTGTGTGCTTTGCTAGTGACTTGGTTTTAAGATGTTTTAAGTTCGTGAGTTGCTTTAAGTTGGTGTTTGTTAAACAGCAAGCCTTGACAAAGTCTTTAATTCAGACTCGGTGCTTTGGCTATTTCTGTTGCTCCATTGGCAAGCTGGATCGCAATGCTAACTGCAGAACGAAAATCATCAGCATTCCGCAAATGAAGGCCCCTTAGGAAGCTGTGTTCATGCCATGATGCACACTGTGAGAACAAAGCAAACACAGATGAGCATCTATACATACATCCTAGTAAGGAGTCAAGTTTCAGTAGCATAAACTTTATCAGCTGCCCCACATTGTACACCGGTCTGCCCACACCTCTCCGTGTCCTTGGACGCAAAGCCTCTGTGGCGTTGTCCTTGAAGTTGGTGGCCTCCTTCAGAAATCCCAGAGAACACACATCAGTTGCCAGCTGTTTGGGGGTTGCTTGCCATGCAAATATGTTAAGCCTGAGTCTGAAGCAAACATCCTGCAAACAATTCTAGAATAGGTTTACCCACTGCACTAGCACTCCCCCCTGCACTCCTCTGAAATAGAGCTGATCATAGCCATAGCCTTCTGAAAGCTCTCGATCTCAGGGAAACTTGCGCACAACATATATTCTTTTCGTGTGCATGTGACATGTGCCCATTTGTTACTATAGCCAACAACCAACAGCCAACACAAATGTTTATCTCTTCAATTCTTGTAGTACAGGTTGTTTGCAAAGAACATTTGCTTGCTCAATTGTAAAGTACCTGGCCTGTTTTGAGCTCCCAAATTTGAGCACTGGCACAGCTGATTCCAGCAGCAATTCATAGGCATTTGATGCCGCAAGTGAGACCCTGCTCAGAATCTCCATGGCATATATTGTTTTTCTCTCGGGAAACACACCAGAAACATAAAAATTGCACTTACGTTTCCAAGTGTGTGTTCAATGTTGTTGTTTTCTTCACTCAGCTGTTTCCACACACGTTTGTGGTGTGTGCAATTCCTACCCTCTTCGTTTAACTTTGTTTGTATGTAAAGTCAAACCTTTGCTGTGAGTACATTTGAGCCAGTGGAAGGAATGGCTCAATTCAAAAGCCTCTATATACATTATCCCATTGCCAGTTCTTGGCAGCTAATACATCTATATTGCCCAGTACAAGTTTCAGCCAGGAATATTTTCGCAGTGAATTAAAAAATTTAGCAAAACACACATATATATATATATCCTAATTATGACTGGCGGCTCAGGCTACAATGGCCGGTTTCAACACAGAATGGCAAACGAGGACCTAATGAAGTACCTCAAAGAAGACTCAATATCACTTGAGTTGAGGATGTCAGTACTGGACAGAATTCAATCCTACCCAAAACATCCCAAAATCACTAAACTCATTTGGATTGAGTGCATATTTCTTTGAAACATATTGTAAAGGTGTAAAGGCCGCTATTGCGAGTCAACGCAGCCCGAAGATTGGCTAATGTTCGCAAGTTTCACTTATGAACCTCTGGGTAGAGAGATAGGAGAGAAAGATATGTAGTAGTCTTACAGCATAATGACATATAATGACCTTTAATTGCATGGAGTGCCTGGGTTCCCACTCACCGCCTTCCTCGCGCCAAGCGGTCTCATCGAAGCCACTCAGTGCTGAGGTGATCCGCCGTCCCATCGAAGCCGCCGAAGACCAGGACCCGGCGCGTAGGCATCAGCAAGGGGCTCCAGCTGGACGCCACTGGTGTTGACATCTCAACCTCAATTGAGTTTTCTTTCTTTCCATGAGCATTTTTTAAAGTTCTTTGGCGGCACTGGCACACTTGCAAGTCAATAGGTAACAAGCAACACCATAATTTGGTTGGATCTGCTTTGGATTAGGTTTGTCTGCAGCTGACCGTGACGAAGCAAGGTGCCTGTCTCGGCCGACCTGGAACTGCAGCTTGGGCAGCACTGACACCATGGGCCTCCAATGTGCAGGAACACTTGATCGGAACTGGGTTTAGAGGATGCCTGGCGAAGACTTAACACTTCCTCAAAAGGTAGCAGAAGGTACTTGGACCTTCTCAGCCAAAGCAGCTGACGAGCACTCTACACCCAAACCTTTCCAATTCAGCGAAACAAAACAGCAGGTCCCGCGCGCTTGTGCAAATTCCAAACCGCAGGAGATGTCGCTAAGCGAGAGAAAACGAAAGATACAAAGAAAGAGAGAGAGAGAGAGAGAGACGAAGGTCCTGACCAAGGTCACCAAGAAAACACACCAGGACCATCCAATGGGTGTCCAACGGAGATCCCTAAGTAGTGTAGGGTAGTCCACTGGACACCCATTGGATCCAGGTGCTGTATTAGTGTTGGGTAGTCCATTGGACACCCATTGGATGGTCCAGCTACTGTATTAAAACCAAAATCACTACATACCACCCCGCTTCCAATACACATCCACCACAGGCCTGCAAAGCCTGCACGCTGTGCGCTGCATGTGCCACCTGCACGTTGCCGGCCGCAACAGCATGGGTGGCAACGGTGTGGGCTGCTTGGGCCTGAGCCACCTGCGTCGATGAGAAGGGTGGCAACGGTGTGGGCTGCAGGGCCACAGAGCCGATCCTCGACCTCCCCGTTTCCAGCCGGCCAAACCGTGTTAGCCCTGAGGAGCTTTAGCAACGGATTGGCCAATTCTCTAGAAAAGATTGTTTTTTTAAAGACTAAGAACCTAGTTTTATGAAAACAATCATGTCTGGCCATCGGCGAATTCCATGGCCATGACTTGATCGGCTCACAACATGTTTTTTTCTTGGCCTCTCCTTCAAGCCATCTTGAAGCATCGAGTGACCCAACGTCTCCGCGAAACAAACATAAAAAAGACCTCTACCAGGCAAAGTGACCCTTTGAGTTCTAGACGGGTATGGAGCCACTTTGAGTTCATTCTTGATATAGGGCCACTGTGAAGGGCTCAATCAACTGTTCTGGTCTCCACCTGTTGTGTTTTCAACTCCTTGAGCTGTCGCCGCTCCAACTCCAGCTGTTCACGAGCTCTTCGCAGCTCGTCCTGCGCCCAGTGGGGGAACGATGGGTGGTGGTAAGGATATTGCGGAGATTGATGGTCGCTTAGCAACGTGTTGATGGTGTTGATGGTGGCTTTGTTGGCTGCTGTTGACACTGTGCTCACAGTACATCACGTGCCTGCAGCGCATGTGAGTGTGCCCCCACCGAGTTTAATAAACAAAGAAACTTCCTGCGCTCAACATGCCCAAATAATCTAAATACACAGTTTATAGCTGTATATAGTTAGTGTTATGGATTGCCGCCTCCCACCAGAAGCCTCCATAACAAAGAGATCTCAGCAGGGCTCAATGGGGTGTACCCTTGGAGGATTCCACAAAAATGCACATAGCTATGCGGCACCACCAGGAATCGAGATCTTAATTAAGACGAGTACCCTCCGACATATTCTAACAGTTCTGCTGCTCCAAACCGTGGACTGGTGCCCCCCAAAAAGGACGGGAGCTGCAGTGGCTGAGAGCTGGTCCTGCTCCCGTTGCAACTGTTCCTGCTTGTGGGCTAGCTCGGCCTCCTGCACCGAGCAAAGTGACGACCCAACACGCACGCTCGCGGTGTGGAGCACAGGAACCAAGTGAAACAGAGAAACGGTGCCCTTTTTGTCCAATCTTCACCATGTTCTGGGCAAAGAGCTCGCTCAAAAGTGGTCCAATGATGTTTTGTTGGTGGGTCAGGTGGGGGGTGAGACATGTTAGTTTGGGAGAATACCGTAGAAATCCAAATAGAATATCCTTTCCTCTACAAACAGAGTCGGTCGTTCACTTCCATGTTGGTGAGTTGGAGTGTACTTTGAACCGGACTGGCACTATCAAAACCCAATCATCACTGGGTGGGAAGATCACTGGGCATCCTCCCATCCCTCTATCTCTGCCACTCCGTGGGGTGTAAACGGGAGCATGATAAAGGAGGGATGGTAAGTAAAAAGCCAATCGATTCCATGGCCCCTGTGATACGAAGATGATATTCCACTCCTCTCCTCTGGTCCTCCCTCTCACCTCCGTCCTTCGCTTCGTGTGTGAAAAAGTTTAAGTTACAAAACAACAATCAACGTGGAGTCGGCAAGTTCTATGGTGGAGGTCGTGGGAGTCGTACCATGTGCAGCTCCTTGGCCGAAAACGGGGCTCCTGCATCTGACGCTCCTTGGCCGCAGCAATCCGATCCTCCATCAAGCTCACCCGCTCCGTCTTGACCGCCTCCGCCGCAGTGAAGATCACGCCTTCCTGAGCCGAAACACGGATCGCCAGAATCGCTGCGGAATAGCAAGCAGGTGAAACAGGCGATGAGGGGAGCCAGGCTCCTCAAAACAGCTCCTCTAGTGGCAGGTTTCTTGAAAGTTTCATGTGTGGCAGGTGGGCAGGTGTCTCTTGACATGGTGACATGGCCCATACGCTGCAAACAAATTCCATTTGAGAGCAGTTCTTCAACCAAAATCGCCAGCGGTGCTGGGCGATTACGCGTTGAGGAGCAGGATCCACCAAACATCACATGGCACATGGGTTAGATTAAATGGAATTGGACCTTCAAAGCGGTCAATGGAGATCCACAAGTAATCGGAGATGCCTATTGGAGACGGTGCTGGTGTGAACCTGTGACTGAGCCAGTTGGTCTAGTTGGTCTAGACCTCGAACTGTAAATCTGAGTGCGTTTTTTCATCGAAACTGTCCGGTCAGCTGCTGGTCTAGCTGATCTAGCCGATCTAGCCGCTGGCTAGCTGCTGGCTGTTGAAAAGAACCAGTGTAAAGACAGAACTGCCAAGGATCAAGGCGGTTGAAGGCCTCCATGGCTTCTTCCATATGTTCCTGACGAGTTCCGCGAGTTCCACCGTGGTCGTGACCGAAGGTCGTGACCGAAGGTCCGTTAGTCTGGGCTGGGCGCTGCGTCCGGGCTGAGGACGTCCAAACCTTAAAGCACAGGTTGCTCGATCACACGTCTACTCCTAGTCTACTTGCTGAACTTGCAACCTGCTTCCTGAGGGGTGGAAGCTGAAGGGGGTGGGTTGTGGAAAACGATGCTTGATTGGTGCTCCCTTGATTGAACATCAGAAAGGTACGGCACACATAGAGATCATAAAGTTTGTGAGTCATGAAACGGGCATATTTCTCTACATTCTCAGTACAAGGTGTACCACATCCATTGGCACATGGCGGCAACTGTCCCAAGACCCCAGATTCCCAAGACCGTTCTCATCTCACCGAAAACACCTCCGGGCCTTGAGAGCATTGAGATGGACTTTGGCGGCTTTCCGGGCCTTGCTCAAGGTATCTTCCTCCCCGTCGTCCGTCCTCCACGACGCGCACCAGAGCGCGAGCGAGCCGGACGATGGAGGCGCGATAGAAACGGAGGAAGTCCCCTGGTGGTTCTGTGGGTGTGTAGGGTCTGGCGGGTCTGCTATAAGAAAACAATCAGTCTTGGAGACTCCTGCGTCTTTTTTACACATCTGATCAGGAAAAACTTAAGAGACTCTGCCATGTGCCTCCGGTGGTGAACCTAGCCTCAAAATCCGTTGAAACCAGTCACAAATCCCATTTCCTGCCTTCCCTTCGTGGGGTCGCCATTCACTTCCACCTTTTCGGGTGAGCGACTGGCGGCCATCATCTTCATCACACGCGGCGTACCCAGGCGCGAACACGGCGGCCCCCGCGCGGGCAACGACTTGGAGCCAAATCAAGCCTTCGGCTGGAAGAGTCAATCCCAAGATTCGTGATGGATGCGAAGCCCAATCCTGATCCACCTGAAATCCCATGTGAAATAGCCACGATTCCAGCTGGTCAACCTTTTTCAGGCCACTCATGTTGAACACTCCAAGGGCTATAGCATGCACTATAGCTGTTCACCAGCTGTCAAAGGGATGGCAGGAGCTGGTGCTTTCGGTCTTGGGGCCCCAGCTTGCAAAGATCCAAGCGAGATCGGTCTTCTGCAGGGCTGTGCGCAAGATGGAGAGGTTGGGGCTCGCCTGGGCAGTCGAGCCGGACGAAAGGACTTGCTGGCGATGCCACGTGGTCGACGCCCTGAGTGAAACTCTGGAAAAACTGTGGACCCCGGTTTTCTTCAGGCAGGACCCCCAAAATAAGCGCCATCATCTTGATGAATGGCTTTGTGGGTGAAAGATGGTGAAGGTAGGTCATGTGGCTCTCAAAGGTCTCCCAAAAACTCCCATAGACTCTAGACCTTGCATGTGACTCTAGTTGTTTTTCTCCCCCCGGCATTGACCCCCCTCGAAAGCCAGAACTGGTCAGATCTTCAACCAGCCTGCCGGGCCGGAATTCGATGTATCTTAACACCTGCAAAAAGTAGACTAGACAAGGCAAACATATTAGGTTTAATCACTGACCTCGAAATGGGGTACAGATCTGGGAGGGTTTAGATCGGACAAAAACCCAGATGTCTCAAAAGTTCACCTTTGGTCAGTTTTGAGCAACATGTCTTATACTACACTTCATTTTCGTGATCTGTGAGAATTACGCTGCTATGTTTCATGTTGCCGGCGACCGTCTCTTTTTTGCATGCTTGGACTTGGCGCATTCCAAAAAAGAAGATCTCTTCGGCTGGACCGTTCTTGGACACTGCCTAGACTCTAGACAAGCTCCTCCGATCTCTTCGAGCGACTGAAACCTCCGCCCTGCGTACAAATCGTCTGCAATTGGCAGGCGCTTGTGGATACATCAGCTCCCCTCTCTCTCGTTCGAAACCACCAGAAAAGTCGCTAGCTGACCTCTCCAGCTCTTAGATCAGCCATCTTGATTAACATCAGCACCCGGTGACCATGTTGCCTGGACAATCTGCAGGATGGTCTTGTCGGGGTAGGACCACATAGTCGGCAGCAGGACAGTATCCAGGAGCCTTGGGATCAGGGGAGCCAGCATGTGCCAAGTGGATGCACTGGGGTTGCATGTCACAACTCCTTCAGCCACAGGGGGTCTGAGGCTATTCTGGACAAAGCTTGGAACAAAGGGCTGTCCAACACCACCTCAAACTCTACGTGCTGAAAAATAACAGAGTTCTCTGGATGCAAGAGGTAGATCAAACAGATACCTTGTGCTTGATCTAATGGCCATGTGAAACCAGCCGAACGCGCCGTCAAAAGGAACCAACGCATACCAACACTACTTCAGCCTCTTGTGAAATTCCAATCCTTTCATCTACCTGTCCTACTCGATCTTACTCCTCTCCCGTTCGCTGGCTCATCCAGGCGGCTGGATCATCCCGTTTGTGGCCGGCACGTCTCGGCTGAGGACGGTGGCCTTCTCGTTGACCAGCATCATGGGCACCTCACATAGTCATCATGATCCCAGGCATAGTGAGGCTGGGGGGACTTGGGAGGAGGTAGTGGGTGGTTTCAGAGTGAGTCGATGGCACTTGATGGCGCTCCCCAAGATGTCCTGAAACAAATAGGGGGTCCATGGTTCAAACACCAAAACTTGGGGTAACTTGATGCAACTTGTGCCATCGAAGCTCTGAACCCACTAGGATATCATGGGATCTCCCAGTTGCGACGGCAATTCTGGAGCCGGAGTTTCAGGAAACAGGAGTCAAGAACTTGGCAACAGGAGTCAGCAAGACCTTTGACTCGCCGATTTGGAGGGAGGCCAGGGGTTTTGATACATGGTTGGTTCATTTTCGGGGTCCTGCCAGTCAAACGCTGAGCAAAAGAGCTAACAGGGCTGGACTGATCTGTTTCTCCACCTAGAGATGCAGTCAGTCTGCTTGCTGGACAAGCCAACTGCCGCCGTGTTTGTCGCTTGTGGAACAAAAGGCACCAAGAAGGGCCTTCGGATGCATTTCCTGGATGCCGTCCCTAAAAGCAACATGTGCCAAGAGGCCAAGGAGGTGATGGTGATCAAGGTGCCTTCCAAGCGTTTCAAGGTTTGTCCAAAGGCCAAGTCCTCAGATCACGCGTGTGGAATGTCTTTGGAGCCCTTCCAGCGGACGAGGACAGGACTTCTCCAAAAAGGCAGGACGTACCAAATCGACTCTCGAACAAAGGTTCCACACGATGGGTCACAATGTGATGAACCTCATAAATCCCACAAAGGTGATGGAGTCATGGAGGATGCATCTTCTCCACTGGGCGCCTGCGTTTGAGCTACATTCTGATGCTGGTAACTGTGTCCTCTCCATCTCAACGACTAGGACTACGACCCGCTGATTTTACGATATATATGCATGGCATAATTTGTGGTCACCGGAAATGTTCCAAAATGGGCTAGGAGGATTGCGCACATCTCTCTTTGTAAGGGGGGAGCAGGTAATTGTGGAACCTCACAAGTAACAAGAGCATGTGTTGGGCTGATGTCATCACACTCTGACGAACATATCTATATCATATGGAAGCGCAACAATCACGAGCCCCTGAAAGACCATTGTCCTTAGCGTCCACTTCCGATTTCCGACCCGTTGGAGAATACCAGGGTACCTGCGCGACTCTTTCGAGATGTCGCGTCCCTGACCCAATGATACCCAATGCACTTCTTCAGCTTACCAAGAAAGCTAAACATCACAATACTCACTTCCAAGTCCCGATCAAAAGAGCTCTTTCTGTGCCAAAAGAGTGGGCAGCTGCAATGATTGACACATGTCCTATCTGTGTGCACATGTAAACATTTCGGTGGAGCCACCCATGCGGTGTGTCATGACATACAATTAGACGGAACATGGAGCCAGGCTCTGAATTAATGCAGATCAAGCGACTGAGCTAGCATAGACACCTTCCGAAACGGTTCGTTCAGCTTTGTTGTTCTAATTCTTGCAATTCCTCGTCAGCCCAGCCCGCACGTGAGTCAGCACGTGAGGCATGAAACGCCCTTTGTACATGACCCCATTAGCCTGCCTTGGCTCAAAGCATGAAAATGAGTAAAGCGCTATAAAACACATTAAAACACATTGAATAACACACCAAACCAAACGGATCTGCCGCCACCGAGAACGTTCACGTCGTCGCTTCGGATCTGTTGGTACCACCCCCGTCGTGTTCACCGCCTCGAACGGTGTGATACTTCAAGAGCTGTGTGAGTCGTTGGTGATTCGCCGTCAGCCGCCTCAGCATGACATGATAGAGTTAGATGCCGGTTTGTGACCAGAAGCCATTATGACAGGATACGTTCTACCTGGAACCCCAGTAGCAGCCAGAAAGAAATGGATGTTTCCCCAGTCCAAACCATTTCCTATGTAAAGGATTTCAATTGCCATATGGGAACAACCATTTCTATATATAATTGATGTTTGCATGTGGGTTCGTCTTGGCATTTGGGTCCATCTTGGCAATGTATAAGTATGATGTTGAAAAGAAGGTCATTCACTTCTAGGTTTCAATCAGGGTCACAATGTTGCATGGAGCTACTGTATCTCTGGAAGCAGCTATGAGTGAAAGTGACCCGAAAACATATAAACAGCCAGTGTATTGTTCTATCCCTGTAGGGCTCCAACTACCTCCTAAGAAGATGGTTGGGGTGGGTGCCGGGAGGTCTAGCCACCGAACCTGAGGATATGAGACAGGAACTCTAGGGTATTCACCGTCCCCAGGGCTCCAAGTACCTCAGAAGGTCTTTGGATCCTTGAATCCCACCCCAGTCCCACCTTCGAAACGAAGGTACGACTGGAGCCCTAGGGCGTATCAACTTCGGTCCTCAGTCCCACATGTTTCACGGACTCCGGACGCGTTCTGGAACAAACAAACGTCCATTTGGTACCATGCTACCTACAGTGGTGACACACCAATGGTTATATATATAATATATCCCCCTCAGCCAACCATAAGGGTTCAATACTAAAAGGCCATCCTTGATTGAACCCCCCCTAAATCCAGTCTGCTCACCTCTCCCTCTTCTTGTTCCGTTGTTTTTCAGGACCCAAAAGAAACTCCGGGCAGTCATGCATGGATTCCACATGGTCCTTCAACCCCATCATGGTCCTTCAACCCCACATGTAGACTCTTAATAACAATACCTCCCCACCCCGATTGAAAACGCGTCTTAGACTTTGGGGTGGTCATCTCAATCTCAAGAGACCCATATGTATAAGACATATGGGTAAGTATAAGTCTACATGATGGACCACCCTATGGGGTGGTCTATTGGGCGAGAACATGATGCCTCCGAATGCCTCACCCGACCGGTGGACCCAAGCCGCAAAGAGGCCGCGATGCCCAAGCCCAAGCGTTCGAAGGCGGTGTCAGTGGGCAGGAAGACCGTCAAGGCCTAAGGAGAGCTGAGTTGCTTCCAAGTGCCTGACCGGGCTCCTGTCCCATCTCCTCAGGTTGGGTGGTTAGACCCCTGGCACCCACCCCAACCATCTTCTCAGGAGCTAGTGGGAGCCCTAGGGGTGGTTGAACTCGATTGAACTGTCATGAACTGTGGAAGGAAGAATGTGTGAGCGATCGCGCACTGAGGTCGTCGTGTGATTTTGCCAGGTTGGTTCCCTGTGCAGGCCTGTGCAGGTTGCTTGAAACCTCAACGCACCGCCGAGACTACTACTGATGATGATGACGATGATGATGATGACCGATGATGATGCTGCTGCCAGCATCAGAAAAAGGTGATGCCTCAACCTCTGAATAAAGAACGCTCACCTCCAAGCAAAATGGATCGAAAACTTCTGGCTCCTTT